CAAACACTTTATTTTTCCTAATTAATTAACCTAAGTTTGGCCGGTTAACCGTTATTAACGGATCATATAGGGTGCTTTAACAACCTTCCCTATAGGATTAGTTAGAACCCTTACCCATAATCTTAAGCTAATCAGACCATAAAAACAGAGTTAACTTTAATCATTATTTAGTAAATAGGTGTCCTAATTCACCTTTAAAATAATTAGGTGGTGACTCTTTTAATTAATTAAACCTCGGTCTTCCCAATATGTTATACTCTAATTTGACCCGTGTTAAAATGGGGTATAACAATGCATTGGGTGTTCCTGTATATGTGTCTACACCGGTGGGGGACTCTATCATAGTCGACCGAGTCCATCGTTCGTGTGTTGTAGTGATTGGGGGTCTTGAGACCCGTGTAGACTTGTTGCTCTTAGATATGGTTGACTTTGATATCATTCTGGGTATGGACTGGTTATCACCCTATCACGCCATCTTGGACTGCCATGCCAAGATTGTGACCTTAGCTTTGCCGGACATGACTCCTTTAGAGTGGAGAGGCACTCCAATTTATTCTACCCGCAGCGTCATTTCGTACGTGAGGGCTCGACGTATGGTCGAGAAGGGGTGTCTGGCCTATTTGGCCTATGTTCGTGATTCCAGTGCTGAGGTTCCTCATATAGATTCTGTGCCTATTGTCCGGGAGTTTCCAGATGTTTTCCCTTCAGACCTGCCGAGTATGCCACCCGACAGGGACATTGATTGTTGTATTGATTTGGCTCTGGGCACCCAGCTCATTTCTATCCCGCCATATCGTATGGCCCCGCTGGAGCTGAAGAAGTTAAAGGACCAGTTGCAGGATTTGCTTGAGAAGGGTTTCATTAGACCCAGTGTCTCTCCTTGGGGTGCGCCGGTGTTATTTGTCAAGAAGAAGGATGGGTCAATGAGAATGTGTATTGATTACCGGCAATTGAACAAGGTAACGATTAAGAATAAGTATCCACTACCGAGGATTGATGATTTGTTCGACCAGCTTCAGGGTACCAGGGTAGTCTCCAAGATTGACTTGCGATCTGGCTACCATCAGTTGAGGATTAGGGCATCCGATGTCCCTAAGACAGTTTTCCGTACTCGGTATGGGCATTATGTGTTCTTGGTCATGTCATTTGGGTTGACCAATGCCCCAGCAGCATTTATGGAGTTGATGAACCGAGTGTTCAGGCCATATTTGGACATGTTCGCGATAGTCTTTATTGACGATATTTTGGTGTACTCCCATAGCCAGAAGGAGCACGAGCAGCACCTTAGAGTGGTTCTTCAGACTCTGAGGGATAGTCAGTTATATGCCAAGTTCTCCAAGTGTGAGTTCTGGCTGAGTTCAGTTGCATTCCTGGGTCACGTTGTATCAGCCGAGGGTATTCAGGTGGACCCAAAGAAGATAGAGGCAGTCAAGAACTGGCCTAGACCAGCATCAGCTACAGAGATTCGGAGTTTCTTGGGGTTGGCAGGCTACTACAGACGGTTCGTGGAGGGATTTTCATCTATTGCAGCCCCGATGACCAGATTGACCCAGAAGGGTGCCCAGTTCAGATGGTCGGATGAGTGTGAAGTGAGCTTTCAGAAGCTCAAGACAGCTCTGACTACAGCACCGGTGTTGGTTTTGCCCACAGGTTCAGGGCCCTATACTGTTTATTGTGATGCTTCCCGTGTTGGGCTTGGAGCAGTGTTGATGCAGGATGGCAAGGTCATTGCCTATGCTTCGAGGCAGTTGAAGATTCATGAGAAGAACTATCCGGTGCATGATTTGGAGTTGGCAGCCATAGTTAACGCCTTGAAGATTTGGAGGCACTATTTATATGGCGTGGCCTGTGAGGTGTTCCTGATCATAAGAGTCTTGACATGGGTAGTCTTCTTATATCAACAACAGCTACCAGTCGAGCATCCAAATGGCTCCTTAATGCAGATCGTAAGGTTCGAGATGTAGCTTTCATGGTTGGTGAGCGAGTATTGCTCTGAGTGTCGCCTATGAAGGGCGTGATGAGATTTGGGAAGAAGGGCAAGCTTAGCCCCAGGGCCGAGCTTATCAGCCGTGCATCTAGATGTATCCATGCTTCGGAGGTATCACGGAGATCCAGCCCACGTGTTAGATTTCAGCACTGTCCAGTTGGACAAGGACTTGTCTTACGAGGAGGAGCCGGTAGCTATTCTTGACCGGCAGGTCCGTCAGTTGAGATCCAAGAGTCTTCCTTCTGTTCGTGTTCAGTGGAGAGGTCAGCCTCCTGAGGCATCGACCTGGGAGTTCGAGTCTGAGATGCGGAGCCGTTATCCCCACCTTTTCCCCGACTCAGGTACTTCTTTCTTTTGTCCGTTCGAGGACGAACGGTTGTTTTAGAGGTGGAGAATGTGACGACCCAAAGGGTCATCACCTATTTTCTTATTCATTCCGTGCTTCCGAGGCCTCGAAAACCTTATTTAAGGTTGCCTCGATTTGCGTGCAGCCCGAGCGCGTAGGCGGAAAGCTTAAATATGAATTTTGTGTGAAAAACGCTAAATTTTGATATTAATATGAATATATTTGACTTCGGTCAACATTTTGGGTAAACGGACCGGACCCGTGATTTGACGGTCCCGGAGGGTCCGTAGAAAAATATGGGACTCGGGCATATTCCCGGAGTCAAATTCCAAGGTCTAGAGCCCGAGTAATTAATTTTTCTGTGAAATTATTTTTTTGAAATTATTAAGAAAATTGGAAATAAAATTTGATTAAAAGACTGTGGTATCGGGCTCGTATTTTGGTTCCGACGCCCGGTACAAGTCTTATATATGGTTTAAGCGCTTTCTGCAAAATTTGGTTGAAGTTGGACGTCGTTTGACGTGTTTCGGACTTAAAATGAAAATTTGATGCTTTATGAAAATTTCAAAGAAAAACATGAGTTTTGAGGCTTGATTCGATGTATATGATGTTATTTTGGCGATTTGATCGTACGGATAAGTCCGTAGGATGTTGTTGAGGTTGTATGCATATTTGGTTTGGAGCCCCGAGGGCTCGGGTGAGTTTTGGATAGGTCACGCATTGCATTTTTGAACTGGTAAAGATCTGGTCTTTTGGCTTCTGTGATTTTCGCAAATGCGAAGAGGAGACTCGCAATTGCGAGCTCGCAAATGCGAGCTTTGAGTCGCAATTGCGAAGTCTGGGGACTGGGCATAGGATCGCAAATGCGATTCATTTGCTCGCAAATGCGAACATGGGAATTCCGGGCACTGGTCGCAAATGCGATCATGGTGCTCGCAAATGCGGAGGGTGTTTGATCGCAAATGCGATCATCTTTTCGCAAATGCGAAGTCCGACATTGTGCACAGTGTTCGCTCGATTTGAGGTCCGATTTCAAACAAATTACATATGTAAAGCGATTGTTGAGGATTGAGTGGAATTCAAGGCTTTGAGGTAAGTGTTTGGTTTAACCCTAGCTTGAGGGAATAGGAGTTCCCCACAGCATGTCCCCTCCCATATTGTTTATCTGTTTTGTATTCTCAGGCTAGACACTTACCAGCACATGGAGTCGGTTGTGCTGATGCTACACTCTGTGCATTTTTTTTTGCACAGGCCCAGGTTTCGAGCAGCAGTAGCAGCATTAGCACGGGAGCAGGCTTTCAGTATCGTGAGACCCGAGGTAGCCTTGCAGGCGTCCGTAGGCCCGGCGTCTCTCTCTTATTCTCCCTTTTAGACTGTTGCCTCTTTGTATTCGAGACAAACAGCTTATGTGTTCTTTCAGACCCTTGTATTTAGAAATTCTTAGCAGTTCGTGAGTATTGTGACACCAGTCTTGGGTAGAGGCTTATATTGACTACTCCGTGTTTTATTCAGTTTCTATAATTAAGACTTCCGCTATTAATTAGTTTTGTTGTTTTATATCGTTGTCATAAATTGTTAAAATGAATTGTTTATTAATGGAAAAGTAATCAAAATGGCTTGCCTAGCTACTACGAGTAGGCGCCATCACGATCCCCGAGGGTGGGGAATCCGGGTCGTGACAAGAAGTCCTTGATATAGATTTATTTATTCTAACAAATATTGTCAAGGTTATGGTGGTTATACAAATGAAGGGCATGATTCGTTGTTCAGATAATCTATTTGGATGTGAGCGTAATGCCAAATTATGATATTCAACAAGATTTCAATTACATTGAAGATGATTCTGCATGCATAACTCAATTGAAAGAAGGACTATCGAAGGAGACAAAATAAAACGTATTTCACTAAAGTTCTATTTCAGACATGATTGATGTTCAACAAATTTGTTCAAGTGATAATTTGGCAAACTTCTTCACAAGGCATTGCCAACCTCAGCAATTGAGAAGTTGTTATACATGATTGGAATTTATCGTCTTTGAGATATCAAGTGATATTTTTGTCAGGGGGAGTATAGCACGCGCTGCACTCTTTTTTCCTTCGCACAGATTTTATCCCACTGGATTTTCCTGGTAAGGTTTTTAACGAGGCAGCAAGTAATACGTATTACAAGAGACGTGTACTCTTTTTCCTTCACTAAGATTTTTTTCCCACAGGGTTTTTTCTTGGTAAGGTTTTAACGAGGCACATTATCTATGGGCATCCAAGGGGGAGTGTTATGAAGTATATATTTATATGGATGTCCACTAATCAAATATAACTCCCACCACTCTTCTCCATTATGTAGATAACCCCAACTACTTCTCACCATTATTGTTGTAACTCCTACACCTCTATAACCTACCCATGATCTTCCTCCATGATCTCAAATGCTTAATAGCATATTTATGGAATTCTTTTGGTATACCTCAATGTTGTACTATAAATTGAGGATGAGAACTCATTTTGTAATACACTTGAATATATGAAAGAAATAAGAATCTCTCATTCCTTGCTCCCTACATTCTTGTCTATTTACTTGTTTCATATTATTACTTTGAGCTAAGTTAAGGTTAAATTTGTCTTCCCATTGTGAGGAGTATTTGTTTATGTTTATTTACAGGAAAAGGCCTCCAAATTCGGACCTAAACCCCTACTTATTGGTTTTTGCTTCAATTTCGAATTACGGCAGTGCTGAACTCCATTCTCGTTCGGCCGTGGACTTGTTTCTCCAGCTCTCTCTTTCTCCGGCGAAATCGAGTAGTAAGTTCCCCTCTTCGTCTCTCTTTTCTCCTAAATTTCACCTGCTTCTCTAATGAGACAAAAACCCTAATCCATAATTTTCTATGAGCTTAAGGCTAGAGTACAATTTGGGGTTGCAATGCTTTGTATTTGCTCCGAATGTTTAAATATAGCCTCAACTTCAATTTGTCACAGTTCTATGTGATTCTTGTTTGCTTTTCACGTGATAGTGGCTCCAAAGATGTGTTCTTTTGTGATTAGGTCTCTTAGGAAAGAGGCAGGATGAATAAAGCCGGAAATGATGAATTGTTTAATTATATATCGCACGTATTTTAGTTGAGAATATGTTTTCGCATGTTAGAACTTTTATTGCAGGTCCTATGCTTTCTAGGAGCAGATTAGGCTTTCAAAGTTTTATACGTTAAGAAAATATAGAGAACTTCTTATACTTTTTGTTGTATTTGCATAATATATTGGCACAACGTTTGAATGGAGTAACATGGTCAGTACAATTCATATAATCGATCCTAACTTGTTTGAGACTGTGACTTAGTCATAGGTTTCAAGTCATTTACCAATTCATTTCTCAAATTCACGAATTTGAATTCAAAAATTGATGTAAATTGCCCCTTAAATTCACTTCTAGTCTATTCAAACAGGCCCTTTGAGTTAAGATTAATATGTTAGAGAACTTGATAGGTGATAAACCTATAAGTAATACTCCCTCCTTTGCATCTTATATGGTGTTTGATGGGGTATGGAGTTTAAGAGATAAATTGACTCATAAATTATGTGAGTACTAGGATAAGTGAGTCATTATGAGAAACTATTGAAGTGATGGTTGAAAAGCTAGTTTGATGGACACAATATCATGTCAAAGTTTGAACTTTGAATAGTTTTATTTGAATTCCTAAAAATTGTAAAATTTGTATAGAAATGGAATAGCATCATATAAATTGGAAACACGAGAGTAAATTTTTGTTAACATATAAACTGTATGAAATTTCAGATTCCTGGCAGCTGAACCCGTGAAAGACACAGCAAACCAACGAGAATCTTCCTATAGAGATACGAAAATGGTAATATTACTTTATCCTTTTCTTTTTGCTGTTCTTCTTCTTGATTTAAGTTCCATCTTCGTTGAAGTCTTATGGTTGTTACAGATTGGCAACTCTGATTCCTTCACGAGAATGAATCCCTTTTCTTATGTTTTTGACTTGTATCTAACTGAGTTTTCTCCGATCCCACCCTTTCCAGTTGTTTTTTTCATACTTCAAGGACCTGGTGGGCAGAGAAGTGACAGTGGAACTGAAGAATGATTTGGCTATCCGAGGCACGCTCCATTCAGTTGATCAGTATCTCAACATTAAGCTCGAAAACACAAAGGTCGTCGATCAAGACAAGTTCCCTCACATGGTAATTGCACCTTTTTTCTCCTTCATATGGATCTTGTGGGTTGGTAAAGGATTGGTTTCTTGATTAGTAGTGGTAACTTCCGCCCTTGTATATTTTATGGATGAATGGTTGGATCGTTATGCGTGCAAGAATTTTGTTTGACCTCTGATCATTGGCGACTAATTAATCAGTAGGAAATGTTGTAGGGTTCACTATTCTTTCTTCTATATCTTTGCTATACTTTTTTATTTATTTATTAGGAGTACACTTATTTCTTATTTCTACTGTTTCTTTCATTTGAAAAAATGGTATTCATTGGACATTTTGTTGGTGATGATCAAGTTTTGGAAATCAGGCGCCCACATGG